GCTTCATAACATCACAAGGTGGGACAAGACATTTTGAGCTTTGGAGACATAGACAAACTTAGAATAAAGAGTTACTCAAATGTGTGAATGAACAAAACACATCTTCAGATATGTTAAAATAACATTATAACATGACTAAAAGCTCAGTCAGTTTTGTGTAATATAAAACCTTTAACCTAATCGGATTTGGTTATTGCTTTGCCTGAAATGTTCCCCAGTATGGCATTAAACATAACCTTCATGGAGACAAGCAGGTGACACCACTAGGCCAAATTACTGATCAGACATGTTTTTATGAGTATCTTCTAGCAATAAAAAAAAACCTGTAATTGAATAAATGCAAGCTATATAAGTTTAATGCCATATCGTGGAACATGGGAAGTACCACCGCATGACATCACAAGGTGGAACAAAGCCTTTTGAACTCTGGACGTGTAAACAGACTACTAATAAAGAGTTACACAAACATGTGTGAATGAAACAAAACAGAACTCCAGGCATGTTTTTGAGGAGGTAACAAGATTACAACATGGCTTAAATCTCACAAGGGTCAGTTTTGCGTACTAAAGGACCTTTAAATATGACACCATTTCACACTATCCATGGGGTTCAGAGCGATGAAAACTGTGGCCACAGCAATTAACATTTCAGAACAAAATATCATATGCTATTCTGAAAGGGGAAAGTCCTCAAAATGTCGCCATAAACAAGTAACTCAAGAGACCCGTGAGTAGTACAGTTGCTATTACACAGTTCATATTTGCTTGTCTTTTTGGTCAAACATGAATACACAGACAAAAGGCCATAAACAACTGCGTTCAAATTCAGGAGTAAAGGTCAAACAGGAGGCGGAGGCGCTGTCTTCATTTCAAATGTGTTAAACTGGACTGAATGAGCTGTCTCAACTATTTGCACTGTAGTATTACTCATCAAACTACTACTATTACTACTACTACTACTACTGCTGCTACTACTACTACTGCTATTACTACTGTACTCTACACAGGCTACTGGGCTACTACCGTTAGTACTACTACAACTACTAGTACATCTACAACATCTACTACTAATACTACAAATACTATTAAAACTACACATGATACTACAATACAAGCTACTGGGCTACTACTACAACAACTACTACTACTATACAACTCCAACTCCAACAACAACTAGTAATACTACAACTGATACTACAACACAAGCTACTGGGCTACAACAACAACAACTACTACTACTACAACTACTGATACTACTAAAACTACAACTACTAATACTACAACTGATACTACAACACAAGATACTGGGCTACTACTACAACTACTGCTACTACTGCTGCAACTACAACAACTACTACTACAACTACTACAACTCCAACAACAACAACTACTACTACTACTACTGCTGCTAAAACTACAACTGATATTAAAACACAAGCTACTGGGCTACTACTACAACTACTACTACTGCAACTACTACTACTACAACTACAGCGACAACTCTATTATAACTGTACTCTACATAGGCTACTGGGCTACTACTACAACTACAACTACATACTACAACAACAACTACAACCGTTACAACTGATGCTGCAACTAATACTACAACTACTACAACAAGAACAACAACTACTACAACTGTACTCTACATAGGCTACTGGGCTACAACTACAACTACAACTACAACTACATACTACATACTACAACAACAACTACAACCGTTACAACTGATGCTACAACTAATACCACAGCTACTACAACAACAACGACTACTACTACTGTTACGCTTTGTTCAGTGGTCTCTTGTAAGGCCGTCTGAAAGCACTGAATTAAATGAGAGCCGGAAGTTCACTGATGACACATTGTTGTTGCTCGCACCAACATGGACCGGCAAAGTCTAACCTTGAGTCAGCAAGGCTATAACTCTCAGATCTTATTTTCTGTTCTTTGGTAGGTAACACAAACACATTTCATGCCAAAGTCTACCGATGCAAATACAAAATGAATATCATAGCACATTGTCCTTACTTAAACGGGGTATTTGACTTCTGTGGGGTATTAACTGCGAACACAGAACATATTTAGATCACCATGTTACCTTTTATTGTTTTGAAAATTTGCCCAAAACAATATATGAACATGTTTTTTTGAGTTTCACTTCACTGCATCCAGCTAATGAAACTACTGCACATCACATCAGTCAAGTTGTTATGCACAGTTTTGTATCATGTTTTTGGGTTTGAATAAGGCTCGGGAGAGATCGCTAAATTACTCAAACATGTATCAGTGACATCTAAATCTTCTTTAGGCATGTTTTCGATGAAGGAAAAACATTGTAAGATGGTAGAAAACTCAAAATAAGTTAAATTTGCAGACATTACAATCTTGTCTGTGGTTCAGAACACACATTTCTCGTGATGACGGGGAATAAATGAGCGAATCGCTAAACTGTGAATCTGAAGTGAGAGAAATGTTATTTTAGTTGTAAATGACAGATGACCAATAAGCTCATGAGTCACAAAAAAACAAATCTGATTGGACGATTTTTGGTTGGATTTGAGACATGACGGAGGGAGTGAGGACCATCGATCGGTATATTAAAAAAAAGAAAAATAGCAAGATCTCATTCCGGATATTCCAATCTGGCATCTGAAAACAACCAATATTTCGATACCAATACAATACAAAACCTGAGCCGGACTTGGAGGTGAGAGAGAGCCTGTAGCATAGTGATAAGACTCCAGCCATTAGGTGAATCATAATCCTCCTCACGCACATGCACGCGCACACGCAAACACACAAACTCAAACAAACACACACAAAATCACACACAATATACCAGTAGGCCCATATTACACTATTTTTTTGATCTATGTTATGTTTTTTCTAATCAAAAACAGACCTCAAGTTGTGTTTTGTTTCATTCACACCTTTAACACACAAACACTGCATTTTAGTTCTTCTCTCAAACAGAAAACACTCTGTTCCACCTTGTGATGTCATGTGGTAATACAGGAAGTGCTCCATTGTGTTTTTAAAACTAAGTAATTCTTCACGAAAACCATTCGAATCATTTCACCCCTGGAATTGACAATCTCTACTGAACTATAATGTAAAAGGAGCTGCTAACTTGAAAACTACTGCTCCATGACATCACGAGGACAAAATGTTTTGAGTTTTGGAGACGTAGACAAACTAATAATAAAGAGTTACTCAAACATATGAATGAACAAAACACATCTCCAGGTATATTAAGGTAACATTAGAACATAGCTATAAGCTCAGTCAGTTTTGTATATTATAGAGCCTTTAACCTGATCGGATTTGTTTATTGCTTTGCCTGAAATGTTCCCCAGTATGGCATTAAACATAACCTTCATGGAGACAAGCAGATGACACCACTAGTTCAAATTATGTTGACATGTTTTTCTAAGTATTTTCTAGCAATAAAAACACCTGTAACTGAATAAATACAAGTATAATGCCATATTGTGGAAAATTCCAAGCAACGCACTAACCTCTCCATGGAGACAAGCAGAACCTGTACCTTCACCATAGAAGGTACATAGTGCACCTTTAATGTTTTTGCCAGCAATAACTGAACTGAACATTTTCTCCCAGAAAACAGTAGGTTTTGTGTTTTCTTTTTATACAAATGGACAATATACAGAAATATTAAAATGGTTGTTTTGAAGATAAATAAATGAAAAATTAGAAAACTGGGTAAATGTTTTTTGGTTTTTTTTTAGTGTAAAAAATAAGGGTGATGTGAGTCCAATGACTTTTTGTGCAATACTTTAACTCAACCAAGACACTTAAAGGTGCATTGTGTAACTTTTCTGGCAGAGGGTCTGTCAAATGCTTTTCTCCATGGAGATGTTATTGCTTTTTCACAGTATGGCATTAAACCTTTCTTCATGGAGGCCAAACCAGATCAAGTTACAGGTTGCATCTGTGGAGAGGCGATACCACTCACAGTCAGAAAGCCTGTTTTTCTAGGTATTTTGAGCCATAAAACCACCTGTAATTGAATAAATGTAAGGTAGAACTGTTTAATGTCATACTGTGGAATATTCCAGACAGAGTAATGACATCTCCATAGAAACAAGCAGGTGACAGACCCAACCACAAATTACAGAGTTCACCTTTCACTTTTAACTCTGATGGATTACAAAAACAAATATCTACTGTAAATCGTAAACCTGCTTTGTCTAGTTATTGTATCATGTCAAAGATATTAACCATAAACCAGGTTTAAACATCTGCTTTTGGACAGTTTTCATCTTACTCCATTTAAAGGTGCACTATGAAACTTTTCTGTTGGATGGTCTGTCACCTGCTCGTCCCTGTTGCTTTGCTTAGAATACTCCACAATATGGCATTAAACTCCATGGAGACATCAAGCCAGCGATACCACAAGGCCATGGCCAGGTCAGATCTGTGGAGAGTTTCTCTAAAATGTTTTCTGGCAGGAAAACACCTGTAATTTAAAGGTGCGATGTGTAACTTTATTTGTCTTATTTTATAGCTATTTCCAGAATGTTCCACAGTATGGCATTAACAACATCTGTCTCTTGCACTGATTAAATTACAGTTTTTATTGCATAGAAATACCTCGAAAAGCATGCATTTCTACTGTTAGTGAGCTCCCTCTCCACAGATCTAACCTGTAACTTGGCCTGGTGTTGTGTCACATATTTGTTTTTCTTTATGAAGATGCATAAGTTTAATTCCATACTGTAGAAAATTGTGATGAAGATGTTGAACTCTCCACAAGAAAACTTACACAGTGCACCTTTAAAAATGCTAGACATATATTTAATGCCAAACTGTGGAACATCCCAGGCAACACAATAACATCTCCATGAAATTTCCAGGAAATGGCCCCAGAAAAGTTACACAGTGTACTTATAAAACTATAGCGGCTTTATAAGGTTAAAGGACATTTCCCGTTATTATTATCATACACCACACATGCTGCTGGACCTGTGCTCTCACCCACTCACTTTTATTTCAAAACAGAGCTATACAGTACAAGTTGCACATGAAATAATTTAGCCTAGGCTTAAACTCATTCATTTTCGATGCAGCGACGTCATAAAAACTGAAAAAAAAAAAAAAAAAAAAGTTTCAGAAAACATTTTGGCGACTTATTTTTGAACAACAAATACATCCAAACTGCAAAGGGATGTAAAAAAAGACAATAATGTTTTTTTAATCCAGCTATGTACATTTACAGTCTATTTACAGGTTTAATATGCTCACACATTGGTATCCTTCGGTCTTGCTGCCATTCGCTGATTGTCAATTTACCATGTGACTAGGCATGGGACAGTGTCGATATGAAGTAGAATTTGGTCAACAGTATTATAGTAACAATGGGGGTGAAATCAAATCAAATAAAAGGTCTTGTGGCGTTTACATTGGTAGAAAGGAAATACAATCTGAGAATTCATTTAATTGATTGATACTTTGCAGCTGATGTCAACAATATCTCTCTGGGGGGGTGATGCTAACCGGAGGCACTGCTCTGTCTGAAGCTCTGGTACTGAAGTTAGACTTAATCTGAGCTTTATCTGATCATAAAGAACTAACTTTGCTGGGACGACAACAGTTGAGTTGATTTGTAGTGTTAAACAAGCACCATTCAAGCTAGCATTTCTCAGTTAGTCGCCCTCACCTTTTTTGTTGAACCTCAAACAAATTCATAACAACTTGTATTGATAACATTATAATTATTGTTTTCAGAATATCTTAAATGTTTTGGCTGTGTTTGCTATGTGTGCAATGTAACCATGGTAACTGCTGAACATACATGCAGAACACCCCCATGGCAAAGTATCAATAAGATGTCTTATCAAACTGTTATTGACAAACAGATAACCTGATGTTGTGGTTTTTAATAAATAAGCTTATTCAATAATAATCATTGACAATTATAAATAATGGAAATTAAAGACATATTAGACACTTGAATGTTTTTGTTGCTTAGTATGTGTATTACCAGACCTGCCAGTCTGTAGCTTCTCAAATTGACCCATTATCATTTCCCATATTTGGTAGCAATAGTGTTTAGGTTAACAAATATTACAAATGTCTTGAGCACTTTTAATTTTTGTTTATAACATTATAACAAAACAACTGAAGACATTTTTTGCTAAAATCTTGTTTGATTCTTACACATCAGGTTTAGACAGTATAGCATTTTAACAGTATTAAAAGGAAGTGTTTTCAGTTTTCATTTGTAGCACAATTTCACCGGCCTTTGAATGCGAAACCTTATTCATCTAATCGCTAATTACTCATCTCCAATATCAATTGAATGAAATTAAGAGCACCAAATTGCTGTTATTTTTGTGACATCAACAGCAGAAGCATCAAAAGTGGTTACAGACATCAACTCTGTATAAAAGAGAACTAAAGAGTGTGCATTGCCACAATAAGTTTAAATCCTTAATTGTAAAGCCCAACATTTAGCTCTGAGTTTGTCTGTCATTTAGGCCTACTCTAAACCAAGCTCCTCCTGGTCATCAAAAGTACTTTAACTTTAACTTTACTTTACTTCAGTATAAGTTACTCCAGTGCTTTGTTCTGTTTTTGGTACTTGAAGTCGTCACTTCTTTTACATGGACGCAGTAATAACACAGAGTTAATACTGTGATTAGACCTCAGTGAGACCTCAGACCATCCCATGCCTAGATGTGACAACTGTGGACTTTCTCTCTGGAGCTTTACCAGTGTCCTCTCACTCTGCTCCTTCAGAATCACACCTTAACTTCACTATCCATCTAGAGCCCTGGGGCTCCGCTCCTGTGACATCCCCAAAGTGAAGTCAGAGCCCCTCAGACCTTCAAAGCCAGATGCCCTCCCATCCATGCCAGGCTTTCTCTTCAGCTCCTCACACTTCCTGTATTTACAGATCTGGTGTCCTCTCTTGCGGTTGCGGCAGCTGCTGCACTGTTCACAGTTTGTCTGGCGTCGACACGGGACGCACTCGCCACACCTCTTCCTCTTCCTCCGGCTGCTGCCTGCACCCCCGACAGAGCTCGGAGAGAGACCCTCGGCCCCCAGCCCGTCCGAGCTGTCCGCTCCCAGGGCCGCGCTCCTCCACTGGCCTCCTCCCATTTGGAACCCCGTCAGAGGGAACAGAGCCGGGCTGAAGGGGAACCAGGCACCCAGGTAAGGCTGGTAGTCCGCCCCACATCCAGGTGAATCATCCTCTTCCTCCTCAGGGCTGGAGCCGTCTCCCCTCTTGCCCTCCGCACTGTCCCTCCTGGTAGCCCCAGGCTGGGCCCCCGCCTGCTCCGCTGAGGCCGGGGTAAGAGCCAGGAGCCCCGCCCGCATCAGCAGCTCCGCAGCGTGCGCCAGGTGCAGCCCGCTGGGAGACTCCCACATGTCAGGCCACACCGCCACCGGAGCCCTGCGCGGCTTGTGTGAGGGCTGTGAAGACTTCTGCTGGGGGGCTTCTGAGGGAGGGGGGCCCTTCACCTCCGGGGGGCCGCTCATGTAGTGGGACAGGCTATAGGGGTGACTGGAGCGCCTCAGACTGGGACGCAAAGGCTCGTGGGGGATTTTGGTGCTGCTGCTATGGGCCTGGTCTGGAGACGAGGGGCCCGCCATGTCGACCGCCGTGGACATGGTGCGTTTGGGTTTGTCCTGTGAGACAGAGGACCGAGGGACGAGGGGCACAGGGGCACAGGGGTCGGTGCTGCTGCTGCTTCAGCCAAAAGCCTTGGCCCAGGTCCCTATTCCCATTCTCTGCAGCTCAGCCCTGGAGCGCTGGAGTGAACAGACACAGGTTAAGAATAGAGCACTGCTGGAGGGACAGTCCACACACAGAAATGTAACGCAGCCGCACTGGCCCCTGCACCACCAGTCTCTCCAAATGTTAAAACATAAAGGATTCAGACGTGTCTAAACGCTTTTAGTGTCCAAATACAGAGGAACAGCCCCAGCGCAGAGACACACTGTGAGCCCTGGCAATGATTTCCGCATACAGGAGGCAGTATCCCTTTAAGAATTTCACGGTATATCAATGCAATCAATAACAGAGCGACAACAATATGCAAAGATATGCGCATATGCGCAGGTCAAATGTGGAGCGCGATTTTCAAATACATTTTGACGACTGCTGTTATGTGTGCCAGGCGAAGCTACAGCTTATCAGAGCCACAGCGTACACCGGAGCGTGAAAAACAGGCTGTCTTTTGTCTGGTATCGACGACAAGGAGCGAGGTGCGCAACGATGCAGTGCGGTGGGTAAAAAAAGACCACAGTATATTCCGTGTCCGCGTTCATTAAAACTGTCCTCGTGGTCAAAAGTGCACGTATATACCGTCAAACAGCGCGTGCTTTCACCTCCCCGCTGGTCACTCGCCCCTGTCGGTCAGTCCCGTGTTTTTGACGGTTACCTAAGACGACGGTGCTCGACTGACGCCACGGCGCTGACCACAGTCCGAGTGGTCGCTGCGACACGGCGCGCGCACGAAAAGGCGACAAACAAAAACAGCTCAAATCAACAGGAAGTGAGAGTGAAACACGAGGCTTACCTTCACGAGTCCGGCTGTTTTCTTCTGTCAGAGCCACGATAAAGTCATAAAGTAATGGCCGCGGCTGGAGCGAGGCGGACGGCGGAGCTGCGGTTCCTCCTCCACCTCTCCGTCCCGGAGGGTCTCAAACACTCGGCACGGAATTTGGGGGCGTCGCTCAAAACGCGAAGTGGACTCTGCAGCAGCCGTGGCCACAGCGACCCCGGGAAGTGGACTGAGGCTGGCCACGGGACCGAGGACCGAGGAAAAAACAACATACGTGCATATGTGCGTGTGGAGCTGTGCGTCAGGGCGCGTAAAGACCAAATAACATGGAGAGAGACTCTCATAGAAAACGGTTCAGGATCTGTTCGCGGAAGTGCCCCCTGCTCCAGCACCTGAATGACCCGCAGCTCAGAGCTAAAGAGTATCAACAAAAGCAGACCGACACCGCTGTCTCCAGCGAGATTTGAAAGGCAAATAATGTCACACCAACACAATACACGCTGCTATTAATTACTTCACTAACCTTTGCCAATGTTACCAGGTGTGATTTATCCAATTTAAAGTGAAAATTATTTAACAAACATGTTTTTAAAACAGTGTCTGTGGATATAGCCTACCTATTGTCACAACCGTTAGACGTATTGTGCAAAGGCGTTGAAAACCATAGACCATAACACAACACCATAACGAGACCAATCGCCAATTTTACATTGAAGTATTGAATCTTAAAACCTACTAAAGGGGCTAAAATAACACTATGTGAAACCATATTCATAAGCTCTTGCTATTTGATCATAACTACGAAACAAGAGATGAGATGAAACATTCTATATGGACAGAACAATTTCAGTTTATGGTCTCCATGTTTGACCTATATCCACAGCAGCAGCTGACCCCTTCACTGTGCAGAGTTATACAATAACTCACAGTATTTTACACCCCTAGCTCTTAAATCATGCCAGACTGGCTGTCATTTGGACCAGTTACCTTCAAAACTAAATACATGAACTGGAGTCTGTTTTTACAATACAGGACAAAACCAGGACTAGAACGAGACCAAACCAAGTCTACATTAAAACTAGGACCAATGACCCTTAGCCTGTAACATTTCAAAGCACAATCTTCTATCTTTTGAATGGTCCTCAGAATGTCACATTCTTCCTGCGTCTGTTGTATTGTATCTGCATTCTGGTACAATGACACTTTCATTTAGTGGTATTTAGAATACAGTTACTTTTCTAAAGTCAGAGGGTTTGAAGTATTCTTCCCATCACTGGGAATATGATACTATTTCATAGCCACTTATCCCTCATTTATGCAGTTTGTAAATTCAGTTAAAATTGGAGTAGGCCAGTAATTAATCCTGTGTGCTTTTAAACATACAGGCACTATGCTGTGTATGGCAGCATGAGGATTTTTAGAGGTTGGCTTCACAAACATACACCACATCAAAACTGGGACTAAACCCAGACTAAACCTGAACTAGCCAGGACTACGCCAGGACTACGCCAGGACTACAACAGGACTACAACAGGACTACGCCAGGACTACGCCAGGACTACAACAGGACTACAACAGGACCCGGCCAAGTCTGCATCAGGACTAAAACAGGGTCAGTTCAGGACAACATTTCACAATGATTCATTCTTGGTTATTGTTTTCCTTGCCGAGTATTGGTATTACCGAGAAACATAAATGATACATAAGATTGTAAAGAATATTAAAATACTGAATGGTTAATCTACGCTACTATTAAAATACTATTAAATGCACACTTTTTCCTCTTTAGTTTGACTTGACCCCACTGTATTATTGTATTCGTAAAGTAGTTATTTAATACCAAATCAAAAGTATGTCCATACTCAATTATAGAATCTGTTATCTTCTATTGTCTGAGTGATTAAACTATAAAGCCTACAATAAAATAACCTAATTTATCTTCAGATGTCGTGCCTTTATCAGGCTCAGTAATAACAGCACCATTCATTCATGTTTTTATGGCTACTCCCAGTGGCAGTTACACCTCATTTCCGGGTTGCCTTTATATGATGCACGTGCTGTAGTTGCATTATTCATGCTCGTGCCGCGCTGTAAACACGAGGCTGTCAGTTTAAGGTGACTCCTCTCTCACGGCCGGAGTCCACTCCACCTCTTGTGAGAGTCCTCGGATGCATCTGGCACGAAGCCAGCGCGGCCGTGCGTGAGGGCGCGTGCGTGTGTGCGTGTCACTACGGGAGCAGGGGCCCACCGCGCTCACGCGCACACACGCTGTCTGGTCAGGGGTATCCGCGTACGCACAGCGTCTTCTAGCGGTCAGCCGCGGACACTGCCCCGCGTAACAAGGCCATGGAGCCCCAGGACACTGCAGCGATGACCCCCCCTTCCCCACCCCCTTCCCCCCCGCACCACAACGGCACTTCAGAGGCCCGGTGGAGGTGACCAGCTCACTATACAACTACAGACTGCTTTGTGGTGCTAAATAAGGTATGAAGCTACTCCTAATTAGTGTAATTAACAGGTAACTGCAGTAAACTGTTGTCTGTTATGACAGATGGCCAGAGAAGCCAGTGTTAGACCACCACTATCAGGTACATGGGCACAGTATACGGCACATACTCCACTCCACAGGTGGACTGACAGACACTGTCATGGGACTCTTTGGACCCAAGTCTGAGGAGGTAACTAACAGAAAAAAACAAAACAAAACAAAAAAACAAAGAAAAAAAAAACACGTGTTTGTGTAAAGCCTTTAACAGCACAAACCAGGATCCAGTTACACCTCTTTGTTAAATACAAGTGTTAGTCTGGATTTGAGCCTGTAGAGAAAAGAGACAGCATTTATTTAATATTTCACACAATTTTATCCAATTTAAGACAAACAGCTCCACACAAACCAGCAGAGTGCAATAGTAACATTCAAAAGTACAGCAGCAGTCACACTATAGGGACTTAAGGCTTACACTGAATACAGGATATAAGCATTCTATTAGACACCGATAGCTTGGGACTGACAGAAATCTACTTGGTAGATGTACAAAATAATATAATGGACAATGATTCGCTCCTTGAGTCCCAATACAGGTTCAGATCTCATTAAGACCAGAGTTAGTACAGGTTTAGACCAAGTGCCTCATGTCCTTGTGAGGTCTTAAATTTTGGGCAGTTACATTTTAGCCAAGTTGTTTTAATAATTACAGTTAACAAATTAAGCTTAGTCCTTTGTTTTTAAACTCTTACCGTTTAAATTCAGTTTTAGACCCGGGTCATTTATCAAACTATTCTGTTTTGACAATAGAATGTAGTTCTCCCCAGTGCAAAAATAGTTAGGCCTGAGTATAGTGCTATCTTTAATATTACTATGTTCTAATAAAGCTATTCTGCAAAGGTCCAGTATATGCATTCTTAAATAAGCATTTAGTATCAATCCTGATTTAGTTTATACCTTCTATAGGCACATTCACCAGATCAAAATTGAGACTAAACCCAAAACTAGACCAGGACTAAAGTGGGCTCAAAGCAGGACTGAACAGTGTGACGCAGCCTTCAGTTTAGTCCTGATCTAGTTTGGTACCTGATAGGGAAAATTTCAACACATTACAAAGCTGAAGACTTGAACCATTAGTGACAACCGGCAAGCAAAATGACATCATGGTCTATTAGGCACACGTCCGCCATTGTTTTGTGAGAGACAATACTGCCTTGTTTGTGAAAGTGGGCACTGGTCACTTTGAGCATTTTCAGTGTTTTCCTTTAATAATAAAAAAATAATAATACATTTAAAAAAGGACACTGTACACTACAATTCTGTAGAGCTGTTAGTTAACTTAAAAGGTGCATTATGTAACTTTTCTGGTGGAGGGTCCGTCACCTGCTTGTTTCTATGGATATATCATTGCTCTGCCTGGAATATTCCACAGTATGACATTAATCAGCTCTATGAAATACGGATGGTTTTATAGCTCAAAGGACCTACAAAACAGGCATTCTGACTGTGAGCAGTCACCTCTCCACAGATCTGGCCTGTAACTTGATTTGGTCTGGTCTCCATGAAGACAGAAAGGTTTAATACCATACTGTGAAACATTCCTGGATTTGTAAGGAGCCTTCACCAGAAATGTTTGTTAACTAATAGAAGGGTAGAATAATTAAATGGAGACAAAAAAGCTTCAGTTGTGACTCTTGTGTGTTTTAAGCCATGCTAGAATATAGTTACCTCCTAAAAAAAATGCAGGTTTTGTGTGTTATGTGTTTGTGTGATATGTTTTTTGACTTAAATCAGAAAATAGAGTAATATGGGCTTTTGTGAAGATAAATCAAGTAAATAAAACTATTGATTAAGGCAAATATTATGTGTATAGATGTGGATCTGGCACAAAGCCTGTCATTAGTTAGCAGATACAGACCAGACAAATATCTGAACCCAGTGCACAGTGTGTCATATTTTAAAACAAGCAATTTAAATAATACAAACTTGCTTTAGCTTCACAATGAATCATTAACATAAACATTATAGGTCTGTATAGCAAACCAGTGCAGTCAAACCTGCCAAGTATGGATATATGGGTATGACAGGACATGTGCTACAGTGACCATGGAAGGAAAAAGTGAATAAACCAAGATAACATTTATATAATTATTATTGACTTTAGCGAACACAGTAAGCAGCACTGAATGTAGTTGAGAATTACAACTGTCAAAAACCTTTTACAATTTTCAAATAAGAGCATAAAGATAGATAGAAAGATACAATAGGACAGAAGATGTGTAGTGATTTTCATAGGCCCATTTAAATAAACGCATCACCATGTCCCACCTGAACCATGTTACCTGAAGGATTGTCATCTCATCTCCTTGTCTTAAATTTTACATCAACAGACAAACATAACAAAATAGAAGGTCACAATATTTTCTTTATAGCGAGATGAAAAATATATGTCTTCTTGTTTTGATTTTGATACTCTAATCCTAAAAGCAACACTGTTAAAGTTGATTTATGGGCATTTAGTGGTTTTTAAATGAATTAAATTAAGGGTCCTTTTTCTTGACGATGAGAGGTCCAACGTTGTCCCCAGTTTCTTCATTGTGTTTGGTGTGCGCCCCATCGCAGTATGGGAACTATAATCAGAATAAAATAGGTAATGAAAAACGAATGGACAATAGACAATCTTTGTAATGTTTCATTTAAATGAGTAGGAGACAATAAATACTCGAAAACATGTCTAGCAACAGGGTCAAACAGAATTATAATTAAAGATTATACACGGTGACAGTTTATTGCAGTCAATGTTTATTTTTAAAATCAATAAAAGGATAGACAGAGCCATCAGAGTTTAAAGTGCATAAAGGCTAGACTATGAAAATATATGATATTATATTAAAGATGGTATTAAAAATCTTGCCTAGCTTTTCCTGGTTTGACAATTGAGAAGATTATAATTTTACTTCCTGGTTGGCAGCAGCTGTGACAAATGCTGTGTTCATTTAGCCATCCGTCTCCCGCTCGGATCTCAGATATGACGTCACGTCCACGCTTCAACTGTTTAAGTCTATACATTTATATTTATATTATTTTTATTATGTGTTTTGTGTGTCCTTCTTGGAGAAAAACATGGAGGCTAACCGTGAAACTGTTGTTGCTTTAGCACTGGCTGAATACCAGGCGCTCCAAAATAAGTATGTGCTTCAACTACACAACCTCGAGGAAGAATTCAGTATAAATAGTATAATTCAGTATATTAGAGAAGTGAAAGAGTGGGTGTCGCGTGAGATAATTTTGACAGGTTAGCTAGCAGGAAATGGGCTAAAAACATGAGCGACACCAACTACCAAACCCATAGACAGTGATACGGGCACCGTAAGGTATTGCAGTAATAGAAGTGATTGAAATTGTCATTTAAACCACCAAAGCGACCAAACACAGTGAAAACAGTTCATACTACAAGTGACACTGGGCGCAGCCATCTTGGATTCTATCTCTGAATCCTTGCTCGGTCTCCTCTGAGCTCTTCCGAGTTCTGAGTTCTGCCGTCCAATTAAAAGCGGCTATGCAATATCCTCAGACCTCCGAGTCGGATTAATAATCGAACACACCATTACATAGGAGTGATTTAATTAAGAGTTACCTAGGAACCATGCAGGACCAAGCTCCTCTAATTTACACAATAGTGATGATTAAACTAAGAGATATAGATAATATGTTAAATTATTATTTAAACTGTGTTTAGAATGTAGCACTACTTCTTGTCACATTTAAAACTTTTTTTTTTTTTTTTAAACTTCCACTTGACTTACATAAAACTGAAATGTTTACTACAAGTACAGTACACCCACAATCCTATCCTAATTACACTTTCTCCAAAAGGTAAACTTTGGACAGTGCAGACATTGTTTACTACTGCAGGCATTGTTTGAGCTACTTTTACATAATCAAGCCTTGTATGTGGACAGATTCATTTTAAGTAAATCTCAACAAACCTTCTTGGACTTCCAGCAGCGGCAGTACACAGCCTTTGAGCCGATGTCCTCAATGTCAAAGCTGTGCACCACTTTGGGACTGTCTTTGTTGATGGTTCTGTTCACCTGGTCCTTTTTACAGCAGCGTTTCTGCAAGTAATGACTGACCAAGAAACCCCCCACACCAGCCACCAGTGCCACCGGGACCGCCACCAGGAAGTGCTCTGAGGAGAGGAGACCATTTACATTATCACCAAAACAGAAAAACAAAAATCAAAACTTAAGGAATACATGTGTCAATGTTTTGAGACGCCTTCACTCCAAAACCTTTGTCCAGTTAACGCAAATAAAATTTCTCACAATATGAAAGAAATTTCACAAGACTTGGCTATGACTGATGCTTGCCAAAATACTACATACCTTATTTTGGATTCAAAACCATCCTGTCATTATGAATAGGCAACAATGCCACACTCCTGTGTCCAAGGGTAAGATGCAAAGTGAGTGCCAAGCAACCAGCCCGGTCATGATTCTAAATATAAGGCCTCAACGAAGTCAGAAATGTCAATGCCAAGTTAAAAAAAGTAATGGGAGATGTGGATAGACTTTCTTTGGAAAGGTGATAGCTTCATCGACTACATTAGTACTTCCACATCGAAGTTACAGTATTGCAGTTTGTACAAGTCTTCTGATCAGATGCAAAAATGTGAAGAAAGAAGCATAATAAAACATAATAAGAACATAGCTTAAAGGCTACATAACCACACACGCACATCACATGCTGGGCGTGAGATGAAAAAACACATACAGGCTTTATATTCTCCTTCTAACTCTACATAATCCCAAAAAAGAAAATCATCCATTTTTAGATACATCTTACACCCTCAGTATGACAACATTTTTTTATTTTTTTTTGAATAATTTCATTCATTCAGTCTCTAAGGAGTATTTTTTGACCAGTGCAGTTGGTTTGGTATATTGGTTAGTTATATTGGTTGACTAGCCACAGTGACCAAAAACAAAATGGTAGATGGCCGTTTAGGCGTATAAAACCGTCAGCCAAATGACTTGTGAAAAAGCATTGTCAAAAGAGCTGTATTTTCGCTGAGTCATGGTGCTCACATGTTCCCTCCAACCCTCTTTAGCTCGAGCTGAGCGTTGGGAAACACGATTATAATGCCAGTATATGACCCCTTCTCTATGGTCTATGGAGGGGATAATCCAGGTCCAATGAACATCACATGACACTGGGACCTACACAGCCCCCCTGTTACTAGATTAGAATCTCAAGTGTAGTGGTTAGCAAAAGGCTACTACTTCAGAACAAGTTAGCAGTAACACACAGGCAAATCCCACTGTTTAAAATAGGTCTGTGATTTAAGAGTGTGGCTGCGGTGAAATGATGAGTCGTTAAATGATTCTCTACAAGGCGTGCTAAAGTTGTGCGGCGAACTTGTAGCTGCACAAAACTGTCAAAGTTAGCAAGCGGCTAAATATATGCTAGCTACAAATGACTTCGCAATGAAAGACAAGCTAAAATAAGAATATATCAGATACATTCTACAGAAGTTTTAACTGTTAAGTAATCGGGGCAGTATAAGGTGAACTGTGTGGCCAAGAAGCATATCTAGGTTTGTTGTTGACATCATGCGAAGAGGTAATATTGGGTCAGCGTGTGTCAAGTTACAAAACATTACCGCTCTTCGCGTTAAATTCCCAGTTTTTTGGGGTTTTACCTTTGGATATTCTTAATCCGGACATCTGTGGCACTGCGGCTGAAGACATGGTTTATCGGGGAGACGTGTCGATCCTGTTCACGGAGTTCGGGAAGCTGCAGAAGTAGCAGGGGAAGCGGAGGAACAAGGTCAAAGCAAAGCCGGAGCCTTAACTGAACCCAGTGCGCTGTGCGTCACTACGTCAGAGCTGTGCGTGCTGCGTCAAAATGCGGAAGTGAATATCAGAACGTTTTTCACTTATTTTATTATTTTTATTTTTATTATTATACAAAAATAAAACAAAATACAATACAATATACAGTACAATTCTCATTCGTAGTACTGAATTTTGTTGTAATTAAAAAATAAAAAAAGTATAATTTGGATTTTCTCACACAAACGGCAAATAGTGATTTACAATCTAATGTCTAATGTCAATGTAAATCAAGTAAGATGAATAAGATATAACAGTTTTTCAAAGGTGTAGTGTAGAATAGACGTTTAGTATTATTTTAATTAATACTTTTGTTAAATGTGTCAAAAAAGCCTCAAGAGGGCAGCATTAACCTCAAATTGAAACTGAAATTAGCAAGTCAAACTAATCCTAAATAATTTCTGGTTATGGTTTATATGACAATATACGATTCCATAATATAAGTAATACATGTTTGGCCGACTTGTGCATGACATTAGGGTCTTTTGTGACTGCTGAACGTGAAACACACTGAGGTCTTGACCCCTTGAGCATGTTTTTGGTGGTAGGGAGACCAAAGAACCCCAAGTAGAACGTACACAGACACTGGCAGAACATGCAAATTCCACACCTTCAAGTATCTCATTGCAATTACCAATAACGATTACTGTAGTAGTTGACAGGTATGACCAGATAATTTGATTAGTTGACCAGTTGAACAATGATCTACAGGTTGCATTAAGGTTTGAAATTATTACTTTATCTTAATTTTAAAATAATGTTAAAAAAAGCACATTTTCCAAGAACATGCATAAAAACGTAATTTTTTAAAGTTTAATGTAATGGTTCAGTACAAATAACGATTACAGCGATTCACTCAAAAAATCTTCGCAGCCTTAATCGGAGATCCTAATCTAGTCCCAGTTCAGATAGGGTGTGAGTGTGACAAGGTTTAATATTTCATCATTTTACTTCAATAAGAAAGTAATAAAACAGACACTTTTGGAAGGTGGTACCAGCCTATAAGTTAATATTTTAAAATGTAGGTTTGAACATGGTGTGAAAAAGCACACGTGAGTCAGGCAGTTTTATTACACAGTTTAATCAACACACAAAGCTCAACGAGCCTCTCAGGTAATTCAATATACAGAGGTTTGTGCAAGAAGAGTGGGGTCTCCTCGCACCCAGAGCCCAACCAGTCCCATAGCCGTTTAAGATGTTAGCTTCTAGTTTAACAATAGCAAAAAAAAAGAAAAAAAGAAAAATAAAAGTCAAAAAAGAAAAAAAAAAAACCTAAAGAGTTATTGGGGGGAATAAAAACACAGGTTAAACTAGGAAAATAAATTGCTTAAATACCTGGTCCAAAACCTCCACTTTTGTGAATGAAGAATGGTTGGTGGTGGGGGCGTTACAGTTGTGCGTGCGAGAGTGTGGTGTACAATAAGGTAAAATGTGTTAAATTCAGTATTTTTTTTTTTTTAAGAGAGAGCGAAAGAGGAGAGAAAGAAAAAGAAAGCGAGAGATGAGAAGAGAGAGAGAAAGAGAGAGAGAGATACAGAGGTGCATGGGTTAAATTCAAGTCCGTTCATATAAACATTAAGTCTACAGTGGCCATGTGCATCCATTGTTTTTAAAGTTTGACATAGCCTGCGATTTCTCTTGTATAAAACACAACACAGTGCCCGTGCCCGTCAAGTTGCGAGTTCTTGAACTGCTCACCTCTACGGATGGAAATTATTACGGATAGCAAAACAAGAAAGACGAGTAATTAAAATCCCTCCATCTTTTGTGGCCTGTCCCTTCCCAAAAACAAAGTTACAAATAATAAGGGAAATTAAGTAACCAAAATATAAAGGGGTGTAAAGTAGTAATAGATGTATTTTTGACTATTTAAGATGGCGTTATGTACATAATTTGGGGTCCGGAGAGCTGGGACAGGCCTAGAGAGGGATGGTTTTACTCGGAGGAGGGGAGGCGGGCTCAAAGAAAGCACTCCAATGGAAACCAATAATTTCCTGTTTAAACGTTTCATTTGTTGTTTGTTGTCATGGATATTTTGTTTTTCTCTTTACATCTGAAGCTCCCCCTAAGCCTTGCGTCGTAGAGGTGGTTGGCCGTGATCTTTGCTCCAACACTACATTGCATACTTTTGTGTCCATTCCCGAGCTATTTTGTTGTACCTGCAAAAGAAGCACACACAAGGAATTAGTGATTTATCTATGTGATAGTAGTTAATCTATACAGTGACTACTATTAAAGATGCACTGTGTAACTTTTGGGTTGGGGGTCCGTCACCTTCTTGTTTCTATGGAAATGCCATTGCACTGCTTATAATGTTCCACAGTGACATTAAACTGATTTAATCTAGCATTTATTCAATTACAGGTGGTTTTATAGCTCAAAAATACCTCCAAAAAAGGCATTCTGATTGTAAGCGGGGATGCTTCTCCACAGATCTGACCTGTCACTGGTCTGGTTTGGTCTCCGTGAAGATAGAAAAGTTTTAATTTAAGCAATAACATCTCCACAAAGAAGAGCTTTTGACAGTCCTTTCATCAAAAAAGTTACAAAATGTATCTTTAACTGCTATCACATAACATATTTAGACCACCATGTAACAATTTATCATTTTGACAATGCCATATTCACTGAAAAAAATGTATTAAGTTACAGTTTTGTTTTTGATGCTCTGAGTCACTTCAGAACTTCAGAACACCATCTATGGCATATGAAATAGACTTGTGGGCTGCGACTTGGACAGCACCTCACAGCAAACCGTTAAGAGGGTTTGAATAGGGCATAAGAAGAGATCATTAATTACTCAAAACATGCATGGATGACATCTAAAACCTCTTCAGTCATGTTTTTGATGTTGGAACACAGTAGAAGGTCCCAAAAAGTCGATTTGGCATACTAATCCTTCTTTAAATGTACAAGTAGATGTTTAAGTACAAGACATAAAATAAATCTATTTTTTTATTATTATTTTAAAGTTTGTTTCATTGTTATGTGTAATAATTTTTGTAGCACAGACATCATTGCCCACCTCAACATGATCGTATAATTTCAATCAAAACCATAAATCTGTGGTGTCCAGTATCTGTCTGAAGGCCTTATACTGATAAATATATAAAGTGATGGCCACAGTCTGGGGACTTATGTTGGCTCATTTGAACAGAAACTCAAACTTGGCTCCTCTCCCGTCCCCAGAGGTCAATGCAGTGGTTCTGTAAATGTGCAGTAAAAGTACATCTACAGCAGAAGCAGCTGAGTCAGCAAAAACTCTGAGGGACAATAAAGCCTTTGGACACTGATGACTTAGATAAGAGATGCATTTCACTTTTTATAAGAAACAACAGTTAACATAAAGAGTGGAGCTTGGATAAAAATATATTAAATTATTATATTAGCAAAAAAGTGCTATACTGTACAGCAATGTCATTATTATTATGGCCCTGGGTCTAGGCCCACATCTAGTCCTTCAGGCTTTAGTCTCAGTTTAGTCCCAGTTTGATCATTTTCCTTCATTAAGACGGTAGTACAACAGACACTTAAGGTGGTACTTCAAAGGTGTGTTAATAGCTGACTGCACCAGGTGTTTGAACTGTTACTCAGAGGGTGTGTTATAATGACTGGACATTTTTAGTCATCAGATTTCACCCAAAAACAAAGCTCTGCAGATCAGTGAGTGTCCAGACCAGAGCCACAGGGGTCTATGCCAAAACCTGACTGCTTTAAATGGTTCATTGTGTAATTTTTCTGGTGGAGGGTCTGTCAAATGCTTTTCTCTGTGGATTATTATTGCTTTGTCTGGAATGTTTCACAGTATGGTATTAAACCTTTCTACCATCATGGACCACACCAAACCAGACCAAGTTACAGGTCAGATCTGTGGATAGGCGACCTGGCTCACAGTCAGAATGCCTGTTTTTCTAGGTATTTGGGAGCTAAAAAACAGCCTGTAATTGAAATAATGTGAGGTAGATCTGTTAAATGTCATACTGTGGAACATTCCAGGCAGAGCAGACAAACCCATAGAAAAAAGCAGGTGACGGACCCATAGAAAAAAGCAGGTGACGGACCCACAATTAAAAAGTTACACAATGTACCTTTAATGATATTTTGGGGAAATGAACACCCATAGATTTTAATCAGACTGTGGTGGAACAAATAATTTCTATATTAATAATTTTCTTTCATACAATTGGTGGAGTTTTACATACTTACTTATTTACTTTTAGTTTAGCGTAGTTCATTTTTTATATGAATGACAATACGAGGAGCAACAAAGATCTTTTTGGACCATGGGGGAGAATTTTAGACTATGCTATATTCAAAAGCAGACTCCTCAATGACAAACTTCACTGGAGTAAGCACTGAAGGATTTTGTGCATGTAGTTTAGCTATTAAACTGAAAGCTACATTTAAAAATATGGCCAGTTTTCTCATTGACTGACCGTTATCAATATTAGCACGTAAATGTACAGTTAAAATATATAATGATCAAAAATGTGTATTAACATTTGAAAAAATATTTTACTAATAAACCAATACAATGAAACGCATGTATTTCATAGAGAAGAAGGAGCCTAAAGTACACGGTTAGCAGGGTTTTTTACATTATCTTCAATCTTGCAGCCATAATGCAGGTCTCTTATTTTATATTTCATGAACTCACTGTATAATTTGTGTCCATGTCTAATGCAGCATAATAGAAAATGTCTGTATAAAATGAAGCCAAAACTGTCACAGTGAAAGAAACCACTCCAGTAGTGAGATTAGTATCATAGTATCATAGTACCATAGTACCACAGTAGACTTGAAGAGTCCCATGGGAGCGCTCCTGTAGATTCTGTTACATAAATGTATATTGGACAGATCGGCTCACGTTACATTTCACATTGTTGTTATGGGACTTGTCTAGACCTGAGCCTGTTCAGTAAAAATGCTGCAGAGGTGAGACCGATACTATCAGACTCATTACATGAAGTAAGGAAAGAGATTTTAAATATAAGAACAATGTTTACTTTGTGTTAAAAATCAGAAAATATAATTCAAGATCAAATCAGTAAATGTAATCATTATGTTTTACCGTTTAATGTTACGCAACTGTTCCAAAATTGTAATTAATGCTTTGTATCCGCCAGAGCCTAAATGTCAGCAGCATGTTCGAACAGAACACGATTTATACAACTATATAGAGATCTACTTTATACAAGTGTTAATACGTGTAGGGCAGGTTTAATTAGGGTTGCACAGAACAGATACTGATACTACAAATATCAGTTCAGTCGATATCCTGGTTGGACATACAAAATACTTAATAGACCTTTAAGTCAGATAAATAATTAGCATGGCAAAAAAAGCATGAATTAGACTAGTTTTAAATATTTTAAGCACGAATTTAAAAATAAAACAATGGTAAAAGAGTTGTGATTTTTTGACAGATCATATTTTCAACACTGCAAGGGAGATTTTTCAACAATGCCACAAAATCTATGCTGTTCATTTTAGAAGAATTCTTGCTCTGTGTTTGGGGATAAAAACACATCTCGACATGCTTTGAGTCAGTGTGTAGTCCAGATGACAAATAGCACATTTGTTGCTAATTATTTCAGTGATTTTTATAACATTAGTCAGTTTATTATTCCCAAAAACATAAAAAACAATATGCAATGGCAGTTGCAGTTGAACCTTCATCTTTATGATTAGGGAACAAATGTTCAAGTGCCCATTGTGAGATGCTATAGCATGAAAAACAAGAAGGAATGAATAAAAAAAAATAATTCTAACTTTATTCACTCCTGTGTGGTATAATATCTATGACCTGCCCAGAGGGAGAAGGCCTTCTTAAACTAAATGCATGAGACTTACTTTTCCCTGTCCGTCTTGTAGATGCGAGCGATCTCAGGTACTAAGGGGTCGTCCGGGTTTGGATCACAGAGCAGAGAGCAGATGGACAGGAGGACTGCACACACACAACACATAAAGGTTTACAATGCTATACTTAGGTAATACAGTAGTAGTGATGAGGAAACAACACTATAACTTAGATCAGAAAAAATAGGCCCTTTAATATATCACAAAGCCAAAGAATAATCCCCTCTCTCTGTTTGTTTACATGTGATGGATCAGGCAGAGGCTCTACTGATCAAGAGCAGAGCAGAGACTCTTCCTCCTCATTGTTTCCTTGTAATTCCTATGGCCAACTACATGCACTGCTCCTCTACAGGTGAGAGGGAGTATCTCATTCTAGATATTATTTCCCTGCTTGAGTGACGGAAGAGAGTTTAAATTTCACCTTTGGAGATGGTGAGAGCTGGAGACCATTGTGACCGCAGAATGTCCAGACAGATGCTGCCGTTGCTGTTGATATTTGGGTGGTATATTCTTGTGGTGAATGCAACCTGCACGAAACACAATGGAAACACAATAAAAACACAATGAAAGGTGAAATAAAGAGTTTGAATAAAGAGAGCTGTGAGGTGATATGTGCCTCACCTTTGGCGGTTTGAAGGGGTAGTCTGTGGGGAAATGAATGGTCAAGAAGAAAACCCCATTTTGGTAAGGACTGTCATTCTGAAGCATAACACAGAAAAAACAGTGTTAATATTAGTGTGTGTAGTTTTAGGTTTATATACAGGAGGTTTCACTCTAAAACTATTCCCTTTGGGGGAAGTAAGGCTTACTTGACAAGTGCAATTAAACTGAAAATGACTTCTGTATGAGAGCTGAAGCTTCTTAGTAATTAAACAGTGTCCAGATGACTATAGCTGAAACCTTCTCTATGTTGGACCACTCCTGGATGAATAAGGAACTACAAAGTCTCATAAAATAATTCTGATGCATCCCGGTTTAAAATAAAAGGATTCAAGTACACACAACAAATGTAGGTAACATAAGATGTGCAACTGATGTCATTTTAAACTGAGATTGAGATTCAAATTTCTAACAGTGAATGATGAGCCCAATCTTGCATCTTCTTGGGAATTGTGTCTCTACCAATTTTTCAAGTTTATGAACCATGAATGTAATTAAACAGTCTCGTCCTTAGTGCCATTTTTTTTTTTTATATATAAACTTATCGTCATGCCCATAAAAGGAATACTCTGATCCTCCTGAAGATAAAACTGCAGGCTTTAAGATGAGCCTTGATTCTCATCAATAACTGGCTGTGCTTCATTCTTTAGGCGCTGACTGTGTTGATAATCTGCAATCCCTGTATAATCTCTGTACAAGTGCCACCTTCATACATACAGTCACATGTGTATAACAAAGACCATACACCCTGCATACGCCCTGTGCTACCAACAACCACTTTCATGTTTTTACGTTTCTATTCAACTGTGCAATTAATGTTACTCAAAACAGAGATTCAGTCATTTATAATCATCAAATGATTAATAGTGCATATAGTTTATGAAACCAAAATTCATGATCAATCAATATAAAGAAAAGAAATATGATTAAAATGTGTGTCATGTGTCATGCCATGTTTCTACCACTGCACTTTTTGATATTTAAAGAAGCCTACATTACCCAGAATGCTTTAGGTGAACACAGTCTGCACACATTATTGAATACTTACAGGTCCCATTATTGTGGCTTGCCAGTGAAACACTAGAAGAGAAAAAACACAACAAAAAGGACAAGTTAAAGCCTTGAAACCTTAAAAGAGATTAAACAAACATTAGAGTTGTTATCAGCGGATTTAAAATGTGAAGAGACAGTTTGGTTGGACGGTGCATCGTGTGGGTTTGAGGATTAAGAAAACACAAAGACAAACTGCAGCGACTTGGTGGTCTGTTTGAAGTATAGAGACAGGAAGTGAGGCACTATGAAACTAAACTCAAATCTACAGGTTTTGTTCCAGGTTAAAAGGTGGGAAATATATCATGAAAACATGATCATCTCAATTGTTGTTTTGGCGATACGCAAAATTAGAAAACTGAGTATAAGGTCTATAATTAAAACTATATTTAAAAAAGTTATAAAGTAATATTTCTGCACTTTAAAAGGTTATGCAAAATTCACTCGTGACCTTTATGCCATGCTAGAATGTTGTTACCTCATCAAAAACATACCTGGAGCTGTGTTTGTTTCGTTCACACGTTTGAGTAACCATTTGTTATTCGTCTGTCTACATCTCCAAATCTCAAAATGCTCCGTTCCACCTTGTGATGTCATGAAGCGGTAGTTTTTAAGTTAACAGCTACATTTGACCTTTTATTCAATTTAAAGTATAGAGAGTAGAGTAATGGCAATTCCAGGGGTAAAATCATTATCCAAATGATTCTAATGAAGGTGTACGGAGTTTAAAAACACAGTGGACCACTTCCTGTATTATTTCCTGTGTACTTCCTGTATTCCCGACTGTTTTCCGTTTCACTGAAGAACTCAGACTAAATATGCAGGGTTTGTGTCAAATGTGTGAATGAAACAAAAAAATCCAGGTGTGTTTGTGATGAGGAAACAACAGAACAACACTCAGAATATAGTGTAATATTTGAGAAAAGACAAATTAGATTACAATCCTAATGCACTATAAAATGTTTCTTGACAGTATATTTGTCATCATTTATTATTGAGGACATGAATAAATAGAGCGTTCTTCATGACTTTTCACACTGTAAGGTCAGAGTATCAGGAAAAGTGGTTAGAAAGCAATTGGTTGTTAGCTCTGCTCTGGTCTCAGACATGGAACATATTTTAACTTGACAATATAAGATAAAAATTATGACACAGTGATCAGTCTATTTTTTTGCAAAACAGTATATTTTTGTGAAGGTCAAATAAAATTAAATACTCACGCAATTAAACCCAATTTGAAATATTTTGCAACTTCAAATTATAACTGGAGTTTTTTTTTTTTTTTTTGTCTGGGCCAATTGCATAGTTATTTTTTTATTTATTTATTACATTTTTTTTATGGTGTGGATTTAAAGATGGGAATATAGCTTGAAATATTTGTCAATAAAATCTAAATGTCACACCTGTAAACTAATTTTACACTGATATTTTGAGAAGACGACCCCGTGTCCAAAGAATAAAAAAGTCTAGCATGCAAACCACTCACACTTACTGCAGCTTTGAGTCTGAGGAGGTCAAATGAGTTCAAACAGGAACAGCATCTGGACCAGAGACGGGACAGACCCTCCAGGACTCAGAGACGTGTTTAGAATAGTTGCTCACACAGCCTGGTCCTAATATTATGGTCTAACCCATTCATTTTAATAGGACAGCAAAACAAACATTAATTTTGATGGTGACAGGCAGATGGTTGTTGCTTACATGTTTGTTACTTTTGCCAGTGTGTAATAACAGTCACTAACCAAATCCCATGCTCTATTTTCTAAAGTTTACTAAAATGCGCAGGATTTGTGGAGCTTGATAAAATAAAATATTTTAGTCAATTCTGAATCAAAACACTTTTTGTTTGTTTTATTATAAAAATACAAGTAACTTAATTTTTACTCAGTCTGCTATTGTTTAATAGAGGCAATAAATGACATTTACCCAGAAATTTGTAATTTTTTTCCCCCAAATAAGGACTGCCCAAGCCACCATAATCTTGTAAAAACAGAGGCAAACACTGCATTAGATATTTCACCTAAATCGTTCTGCCCTATATTGTTGTTATTATTATATAAGATCTATTAATTGTTGCCGGGTTGGTGATTGCCAACGTGTGATTGATGCAGAGTCTGCAGCAGAGATATCTTCTGTTCTCACAGCTCTTTTAATAGCCACATACCTTTCTTCACACGAATCCCACTCAACAGCCGCATGATGCACCACCACTCAAGGAAATCACCACAGACTTTCACCAATATTACAGTCAACACTTAAATGTCCTGTATCTGATTTTTTATTTTTTTTGTATTTGAGGAAAACTTGACTTGCCCCTACACAGATATATTGTATAAGCAGCTCTTGAGGTCAAAATAAGTGTTTTATTGTCAATATCAGGAAATGTGCCATGAGCATGCTAGTTAGGATTAGCATGACAGCAAAACTCCATTCTGGCCTCTGAAAGTTGTGGAAAAAGCTTAATAATTAGGATGATCTGAATGCTATTGTCCTATACAACGACACTAGTGACTCAAGACGAGTCTTGGTCCGGGATCAAGACAGTGTTTTTTTTGGTCTTGGTCTCACCGTCTTGGACTCGGTCTTGTCATGGACTCGAGGTCTGGCACTATTTAATTACGGCCGCTGTTGTCGGCAATAAACTAGTACTGGCGTGCGGGAGTGCGCGGGGCTTCTCTCTGCAGTATGTGCACTCCTTTAAACCCGCAGACACTGCGCGGCACATCACAACACACACGCTCCCAGTGCATGACTTGTTTGCAACAGCGTGTCCCCTCGTGTACCAGTGTGCATCACAGGGCAGGTTAATCTTCTTAAAATATTCTACCTGTCCACCTGCCTCACGTTAGTGCTCCTCCCCACATATAGCGCACACAGGCTCCCTCCTTGATGTACGCTGATTAGAAGGGCAAGAATTGTCCAGTTCCAGATCCCAGAAGATTCAGACAGAATTTAGGGAGGGACTGACTGGTCAGACAACATTTAATCTTAAAAGTGTAAGATTGTTTTGAGCTTTAAACATTATTGACACTACACTGATTATTTAGACTAAACCAGGTCAAAAACTAGAGTCCTTGATTTGATTTTTCTTAATTCCATGTGGCAAAATATTATGACTTATTATTGCTCTGTGAACACAGAAGTGAAACCACACTTTGTGAAAGCTGTGAAATCTAATACACAGAAATGTGTTATTGTTTCTGCATCATCAGATAAGTAAAGTATAGGTGCTTTTCTGAACAACTGATGGCTACAGCATTGGCATCTTTACTGAAAATGTTAGCTGATGATCTTTTTTATGTTTTTGCGTTAAACTTACTGTCATCTCCTACTGGTCCTGCCGAACACTGGGCTGGAGGGTCACGTGCCAAATCATTTAATTCCTAAGACACACAAAACAAAAGTTACATTTGCATTAAAAACACAATTTAATTACATATCTTTCATATCACATGTAGGGTTACGTATAAAGTATATTGACAGAGCAATTCCAGTTAACAGCTGACAAAAATTAAAGCCAAGGCACTGTGAATAGGGAGCTTTAGAAAATAACAAAAATGGCATGACAATTTTTTTTTCTTATGCCGTGAAATTCATTAAACTACTCTGACAGCGACTACAACCTTTACTCAATGACAGGATACTTAGTTTTAGATATAAATTTGCGTTAGCATAGCTTTGAAAACAGATTTTGCAGTAGCCTCCGCAGCAGCCTGTTCAGTGGCGTTAGCTCCTTTAGCCCCAGTGCAGTTATGATGCAAACATTAGCTTAAAGTTTAGCATTTCAGGTTCAAATACACGAGTAAACGCCGTGTTGTCACTACCTTAACACTACACGAAGAGTATTTAAGGCATGGATTAGTATTATAGCTCAATACAAGCTCCAAAATGGAAACAACATCAAGATGTACGGGATAGGCAATGTACTGACAGCTAACATAAAGCGAACAACGCGTGGGGCCTGTAGAAAACAACGATACCGAGCTAGCTTTGTTACGAGCTTTGTCTAATGAAGGATTTATCAAACTAAACAGTCAATTAAACAATCAGACGCGAGTAAACAAACGCTAAAAACACCACGACGAATATAAACAAATCACGTTACATCAATATATTGAAGACAAGTAGTCTTAAATTAAATAATAATGTATTCTCCGCTTATCAAAAAATATAATCTGTAATGATCTAGATTACTTCATACATACACGAGTTCAAAACACGTATTGATTACACATTTTCATTAAACGAATGATAAAAAAGAGAAATATTAGATGACAGTTTGGTTTTACGACACTGCCCGATCATTAGGCTAGCTCAAATGCTAACAGATAGCAGTAGCATTATCTGTAAAATCAAATTTCAAATACCACAGTTTAGCTTCATTAACAACATATGGAATAACTAAAAAACATATGAAACAGTAAGATTAAACGCTAATGTACAAATCCGCGAACAGTTTGGGGTTAAATGTGAGCTCGTCAACATTTAATCGGGGGAAATCTGTAGCTAAATCGTGTTAGCAACAGGAGAGACATTAGCAAGCCGAGCAATGCTAAGTGATCATTGATGGCACAGACTTTAGCGATGACATTGTGGCTTTTACGTTATAATACACCACAGGAAATACGTGAACAGTATGAAATAATTGGTTGTGACAGTTCAGCGGTGTGTTGTAACATTTGTAGCCGTTCAGTGAACAGAGAAAGCGGATAGGTGTAGTGACAAACTCCGCATCCCAAAGAAGATGCTGGAGCAGCAGAAGTCAGAGCTACTGTCAGCTAATGAACAAGCAGCATCAAACACAAGTGGATACAGAATTAGGGTGACCAGACGTCCCTATTTACCCGGGGCAGTCAAAGTTTTGAGCCCTGTGTCTCTTGTCCCAGCAGATTTATCCAAAACCACTGATTTGTCCCAGTTTTATACAAGAAATGTCCCAGGTGTCCCTATTTTTGACCAATTTGATCCCTGCCAACAGTAAAGAGAGGCAAAAATTGCCATTTGATTAGGTAAAATACAAAAAATCTGCTTAAAAATTACAAACACACACAAAAAAATGCTTATACTGAATCACATTAGAACCAAGTGCATAACAATTTTCCTTAATTACGCACTCGTTTCACAATTTTGTTATTACCAGCCAACCCAATGCAGGGATGTCCCAGTTTTTTATTTTGAAAATCTGGTCACCCTATACAGAATACATCTGCCAGAAATCCAATCATATAAAGCAGAAGTATTATTGAGAAGTTTTGATCGCTTACTTCAAAATAATGAGAACAATAAAACCACAGTCCAAGTTATTAGGGATTATGATAAATATGCCTCCAAAACAGGACTGTGAAAAGTATCGAAAATTTTATACTATTCAGAACTAAAACTAGTATCGAAACTAGATAATCATTTGAGCAGGTAGGTAGCAAGACCTAAATAAAATCACATTCACTGGACAAAAATGAACCTTTCCTGAATAGTTTAGAATAGAATAATCTTGAGCTGCATCAGAACATAAGAGAACATAGACTAGTATATTACCATGGACCACTGAAGGATTACACAAATATAAGGCCACATGGGAATATAAAATAATGTAATATGATTTAATGTTGAAAATCACATTTTATTGTCTAAAAGAAAGCTTGTTTTGTATAATCATTGTTGTATCACGGCGACACTACCTAAAACTATTGGTGCAACAATGCCTTCGATACACAACTAACAGGTCCAGACCCAGAAATTTAAAATATGGGGAAAAAATATCATTTAAGTTATGCTCAGAGATAGCCAAAGCAGTTGCCTGGCAACTTGAGGGCACATTTTGGCCATTTGCACTTCCTGACACAAACCTTTCTCAATTTGTAATGACTATAGATAACAGTTTACAAGCCTTAAAGCCCAGAGTCCAGATTGACTGAGTGATCTGAGTAAGAAGCCATATTGTACATTTGATTCTTAATGCTAGGGATTGTAAATAGCAAATATTTCAGTTATACTTCCTGTCACATGTACTAAATGCGGATTGTAAGTGAAGTGTCTTGCTCCAGGGCACAACAGCAGTATGTGTACTACAGAATCTGTCTGTGGCTACAGAATCCACAGATTTATAAAAAACACTGTTGCCAATACTATAGCCATCCATTTGAATATAGTAATAAGTACTAAAATAAATATATACACATTCTTCCCAAATTGAATATTCAGTAAACTGGGTGAGAAAAATGCAGAAATGCAGAAAAAAAATTTTTTTTGTAAGGAATCTGTCAAACGTCGGGGTAATTCATGTATAACTGTGTTAAGAGTAATGTCATATGATATAAAGGATTATTATTATCAGGATCAAATAAGTTCTAAAGAGAAACTGAAAGAAAGTTAGATTATCCTTCTTAAAAGCACTGTAAAATATGAGATGTAACATTTTTAAAGCGTGTACAGTTACATATAATACATAAATAACACTAAAATGTGGTGGCTCTGATGGGGGTGCATTTTCTGACACGGGGTACCGAAATTGTCACAACATCGGCGCATTGCTCACTGTCGTCACTCGCTTCTCAGACCGTTAGCTGCGTGTAGAAATCCTCGCGTTTACAATTTTACACGTAAGTTTAAAGATTACACTCTTATTACTGAACTAGCAAACAGGCAAGCTGTATAAGTCGAACTCTGTGTGAAAATCCCGATGAGAAGCGGAGATAGCCCGGGCCTCGCCGCTCACTTCCTTACCTTGTGAATTCTTTTGAGGGCCATTGTTGTGCTAGCGGTTCTGTCAGGGAAAGCGTGCGTGTAAAATGGCGACTGCTCCGACTGTCCTTCGCTTTTAATGCTGTAACTTATATTTCATAAACCGGCGTAACTCTTCCAAAGGGCCCTATTGCGAACGAACCCGGAGCCACCGAGAGAAAAGCCGAGGCGAAACCGAAAGAAGAAGGTTAGACCCGCGGTCCTTCCTCCTGCTGCAGCGGCGACCAAACCAAATCACTGCGCTCCGCTAGCGTCAGGGTGCGCAATTAACGCAAAGACATCCGCTCAGGCGCCTCCACAATACAACAACTAGGATACTCAGTGCAAACTATCTTAAAACAGTTTTTTGCATTTGCTACTTGAAGAAATGTGCAGTGTGAGGAAAGTAATGTTGTGTATTTGTAACATTGTAATTAGAAACCATAGCAATAATTGCATAGCAATTTCTAAACAAAATGTAAGGCTGCACCTTATAAAGGGTGAAAAAAATTCTCCAAAAGTCAAATTAGGATGAAGGGTGTCATTAAAAACAAGCCTATACCCTTCTCATAAACCCTTCTCATAAACTGATGCAGTGAGCTCCTGGAGATGTGACAGGACACACACGAGGAGAGCTGCAGGAGAAGACCACTGTGCAGGCTCAGAGAAACCTGGAGGGCACAATCCATCCCAGACAGACACAGTTAGAAAGTAAGTGAGAACTGACAATCTATTTAAGATGTAACATTTGTTTATATTTGCTTCATTTGTAGGTTTTTCTTTTTTTTATTTTCTTTTCTTTTCTTTTTTTTTTTGTAGAGAGCGAGAGATGATGCTGAATATCAAGTCATGGATTTTGGAATCATGTTGAGAACAAGAGCCACACTGTGTCTTCTGCTCTCATGGGGTCTACACCAGGTAAGCAACATATATATTTCAGAACTGAAGGAAAAACATTAAGAAATTGCATACTTTGGCTGAAAATTTTAATTTTTATACAGACCTGTCTTTATTTATATATTTTCACTTGTCAATATATAGAACTCTTATGCCACTTTATATGACTATTAATGATAAGATTAAGCCTAAGAATATTTTTCATGAAAACATTGTTGTAACAACCCATTCATATTTTTATTTATTTATTTATACTGAAAGCCAATTGTGGCTGGTTCGTATAAGACAGTTACAGTAAAATCATGCATATGTTTGCTATAGTCCTCAGCTGGTGCATCTCTGATGCAAGGCCACTGATGTAACATCAAATGTCCAGTAGTAAATAAATGAAATCTGTACCACTGTACAATATACCAAATAGATCTAAATCTCAAATTTTAGCTTTGAAACACAAAACAGAAACAGGATGCGCTTTTATTGGCACTGCTTGGCGCTAAAGCTGTGTCTGCGCATGTGCAGCTCACACGACTGGCAAAGCACGCTGATGACGTAGTGCTGCAGCTGGCCCAGTGTGGTCCAGGCAGCTCCAAGTGTGAACACACGGCGTCGCTACAGAGTCAGTTACTGGCGTCACTAACTATTACTACACTCAGGGAAAGTGAATGGAAAAAATACTTCAGAATAGTATTTCACTTACCGAGCTTGCGTTTATTCATCGTCGGTTCTTGAGCATTTTCATCAGTGCCAAGGTTTGTTATTACTAATGGAAAAGGCCATAGCCAGTTATTCTAATAATAATTTGAAGATTTTGGCTTCTAAAATATTTTTCTACATGCATTTTTAAATATGAATCCTTTATTTATACAGGGTGGCCTTTTGTGACTTAATACTTAATTTTTAAGAAGGACCTGAGTTGAGCATAAACCACATCAACTCCATACTAGACTCCAAAGATTATTGCAGTGGGACATGATATGAAAGCTAAAGGGATTCAAACCCTGATCCCACATTACTACACTCTGCACTTGTTTTCCTGCTTCATCTCACTATTCAAATTCATGTGTAAAATGTGCTATTTTAAAAGGTTTCCTGAATCCAAAATATATGTTTGGTGCCAGACTTTTTGTTGGAGATTTTGCACTGCAAAGAACGGCAAAATAATTACCTCTGATGTTTCTGCAGTTCTGTCAACACACTGCCATCAACACTACTGGAAATTTTGGGGATAGATTTGTTGCCTCAGTTTGGCTTGATTGGATGGAGTGATTTCATTTAACCTGATATCTAAAATTTCATAATTGTTTTAGACCTACTATTGCTATTAAAAAAAAAATAAATCAACATGAGAATGCACCCACATCACGTGTTCTAGCCTAACTAATTCCCATTGCACCCAGAGCTAAAGACGCATTGTTTTGTGTGATGTTATTGAGTAGTTTTGCTTGGTCATTCTGTATTCATCTTTATGGCAGTACCATCTCTTATATCCTTTGCGTTAAATAGTCTGGGGTCTAAATTAGCCTGCAACGTCCAAACGCGAGACCTAAAACCAGACCAAACGCTGGACCAAACGTTGGAGCTAACAGTCCGCCTTGAATCATGTCTCGCCTCTGTCCGACACATCTTTATCGTTCGGTGTTTCCCCGCATCTCAAGCGCCTATAGAGCCACGTGACCACCTGTCAAATTGCTTACAGTACAGTAACGCGGAGCGCACGCCCACGCACGCACGCGCTGGTGTTGTTAAAGGGGAAAGCCCTGTAATCAATGCCTCCACAGGATGGCAGTATGGCTCTTGTGCGCGCGAGCATTTGCCCCTACACGTGAATTTGCAGGGGTGTTGCCAGCCGCGCGGACCAAGACATCAACGTTCTGCTCCAAGGCGTCTTCCCCTTCGCCCTGTAACCTCCGCACAGTCCACCACCCACTTCACACACCCCTCCTCCTCCCTCAAACTCATATCTGGAGCCAAGCATGCCACAACAGCCGCCTGGTATCCGCCTTTCCTCTCTCAAAGTCCGCAGCGCGCAGGCAGGTTTTCCCGGTCCGAGAAAGCAGCGCGGTGCCTGTACCGAGTGATGCCACTTCCACTGCGGCCGCACCACTGCCTCTGCTGCCAACACACGCCGCCTCTACCGCTCCATCCGCCTGCCGCCTGCAGCTTTCGGAAGGACCCCACAGCATCCCACCGAACAGACGCGTCCTGAGCCTGGGCAACGAGCGAGCCAAGAGAAGACAGATACGCAGGGACGAAGGATAGGAGGAGAGGCGAGGAGAGCCCTCCCTGGTCTTCCCCTCTGTGGTCAGGATGTCCGACTGCAACGCAAGTCCAGCAGACCGGGTGATCAAAAGTACGCATGCCAAAAACGCAACCAAAATCAGCACATGTCTCATTTTCTTTTTGTTTGCATCCCGTTTTGCACCAATGCACGTCTTTTCCGTTGCTCTTCCCTCCCTCTGCAGCACGTACAATTATGTATGGACATGTTCCCCTCCACTGTAGGGTTTTCTAAACGAGCCATACACGAGATACAACAATCTATAGCAGTAGCCACTCTGGGGATAGATATGCTTTTATTCACAACATCTGGCTGTAGAGTCGATTTTATGGATTCAAACGAGGCGGTGTGCGCTTGTTTCTTCAATTTCTTGCAATGAAATAATCTACTATATCAGATTTATACAATAACTGTTGATCTAATAAGCTCCCATGACATTTATGAAAAGAGCAAATGATTTCAACTATTAAAATAAGACCAAATGGCGAAGCCATGCATGTGCACGTTATGGGGAGCGCAGTGAGGATGATGATGATGAAGGTGGTAGCTTGATACGCCATAATCAGGGTCTTCCCTCGCTCTTGTATTCTCTGCATGAGGCATTTCCCCATTTTGTACCACGGGGGGGACGTGGCTACCTCCTCTATGCGCTTATATGTTGAGCCGAGGCGTTTTTTTCCCTGTGGTGCATGAACCCCCATTTACGCGCTCGTCTCCTAGCGGTGACTTCGAGAATCGCCTAATACCTACGGGGGAGAGTGATAGCAACGAGCAGCAGGGAGAGAGGGAGAGAGGGACACTCTAGCATCTTGATCCAATGAAACACCCAGCACAGTGACGATGACAGCGAAAGGCAGACATAAAGGTAAATAATTCTCGTGCGTAATGGTGGAATGTGATCGTTTGTAACGCGTTTGTGGATGGTGCACGCAGCGGCGATAGTAAAGAGGAGAGAGGTTAGAGAAGAGGTTGGAGAGGATGCTGACGGGGTAGACTTAAGGGCTTTACGCCTTGTTTCTTGCACTGTATCCCTTGATGTACGTCATGTTGTGCTCGTATACTTCCAGCAAGTGTGACCTACATTGAAGATCTATTTTTAAGTCACGTTTCTGTGTATTGATTGGTGTAAAAACGCTACCCAGCGGTAACTTTGAGGCCGAGTGCGCACTGTATATTCCCTCCCTGATGTTTTTGCGATTAAATCATGGCGTGGCATTTGCACACGAGCGGCTAACGTGATGCCGTGTGTTCGTGTGATCGGCCTGGTCTATGTTTTGTTCATAATTTAAGGCCTCAAATGTCAAGAGAGTGAGAGCGAGTGGTCTTTCCGGCGCGTCCACGCACGAAAAGGTCTCCCTGGCTTCCCCCTCGTGAGCGAGACAAAATGGAGTTCAGTGTGATGCATGCGCGCGCGTTTCACATGAACTGGTGTCAGTGCATTTCTGGGGGTTGCTGAAATACATACGTACGTGTAGACTACGTTCAGGAAAAGGATTAACGAGATAACGAGAGAGCGAGACGTGATGAGGAGGCGAGATTAGCGAGAATGGCATAAAGATGGATAGATAGGCCATACATTAGGAACAAACAAGAGCACCTTTAACGAGAAATGCAGGGATTTTGATAACTGGGGTGCCAAAAATAAGCTAAAATCCATGAGGAAGATTTTAAGGACATCTTTGATACTAAGACCAAAAGCATATGGAAAAAGCTGAAGTCATGCCTCATTATTTTTGTTGTAATATTGTGTTAAGTTGTTGCAGTTAAGTGTGGCTCCTTCTTGTAGTTATCATTAACTTTAGTAGTAAAGTCAAGGTGGGTTTGATGTAATAAAGGACATTGCAACTGTTACTGAGCTGAACAGCAGGTAATGACATGTTCAACCTAACTACCACCGATTACAGGCTACATAAGGTCCTGTTTGCAAAATCAATAGACTAATCTTACTGCATATTGACTCCTAAAAACTTGATACCATGATAGTAGGTTAAATGGAAATATATCTGGACTAGCAAAAACAATTCAATAGCCCCTTGATTTATCTAATCTTACTTCATTTGAATAGCACATTTTAAATTGTGATGTATTTTGCTTGTAAAATGTTTGTCCTTACGTTGTATTAACAGTAATTCAGTTTTTCTTTAAGGTGTGTAACTTTTCTGGTGGAGGGTCCGTCAAATGCTTCGTCCGAAATGTTCACAGTGTGGTATTGAACCTTTCTATCTTCATGGAGACCAAACCAGACCAAGTCACACGTCAGGTCTGTGGAGAGGCGACCCCCACTTACAGTTAGAATGTCTGTTTTTTGTGTAATAACCTGTAAGTGAATGTAAGGCCTGTAAATCTAAGGCAGAGCTGTTTAATGTCATACTGTGGAACAATGGCATCTCCATAGAAACAAGCAGGTGACGGACCCTCCACCAGAAAAGCTACACAATACACCTTTAATTAGAACTAGGTTTCTATAGGTTAGGTTATGTTTCTTTATTTGTGTAGTTATAGATAAATTTGTTTTGCAGTTTGAGAGGCTGGTCCAACATATCACATTTCATTTATTCATACTAAAGACAATAGACACAAACAGTTTATAAAAAATACATTACAATAAAGTGTTACAGTGAGAGTTAAATAGTTAATTCATCACGCTTGGCTAAAAGTCACTAGGCGCTCGCATTCGAGCCCCAACCCCAGGCCTGGCTCCAGGGTGGGGCCCCGGTTGCTCCATACCGGGCGACGTCATGGT